ATTCTAAAGCTAAATTTAAATTTAAAAAATAAATGCGCGTTTCAGATCTAGAATCAAATTTATCTGTCGCATTGCATTTCCATTGCTATTTCTTCGATAGAAGTAAGCAATTTTGATAGCTGTATCAAAATTCGAAAATTTTTTATATTTTTTGGGTTAAAACTCTTGAAAAAAGTTTATTGTTCAACCAAAAGGAACATAATTAATACCTAAAACTGTCATGAATTGTCAACGAACTGTCAACAATGAATGAACTGTGAATGAACTGTCAAAAGCTTAAAACTCACGAAATACGTGCCAGAATGTTTTTTAATACAAAATTGGCATTGTTGATCGATATCTTTAATGAATCAGTTATATTGACGCATTCGAGACTTTCCGCCAAACGAAATCGTACAGAACAATTTATTTCGTAATAAGCAAAATTTAATTTTTTTCAAATATTGTATTGAATTTCGATTCATGCGATACAATATATATTCAAATCTCAATTCAAAAATGCATTTGTTTCACAGAATGATTTACAAGTGGAATTCGTATTGTACATTGTATATCATTGAGGGCGGACATATACTATTAGTACTATCGGTGACACTTTCCGAATTGCTTCAAGTGGGAGGGATTTTGAGTTCACCAATAGTTATATAAGTTGACATTAAGCACTGTAACAGATTCGTCCTCAAATTTTTTTCTTCGTGCAGTGATAAGTATTAATCAAGTTGGAGGAAAGGTTTGTTACTTTGATATATTGCCAGCTATCATCACTTATGCTTTCTATAAATTATTATCGAATTCGATTTTCTATTTCGACTTTCTTTAACCAATCAAACTTGCATCGTGCAATGACACAGTGAGAGGATGGCATACGGTAGGCGAATGAATCAAACTGAAAGGATGGAAATTTTTGTTGCTATATTTTCAGTTACAAATCAATTAATAATTTCTGCGAGAAAGGTTCCTTATCATAAACTACAAGTAGCCAACATTAAGACTGATTTTTGTAAAGAATAGCTTTTATAGAAGCTAACTTGGAAGTCTCCGAGTTATTCCCCAATTACTCTTCTTGTCGAGATGGGAAATTAAGTAATTTTCATTTTTACGACGATATTGTGATAAACTTATTATATTGTCTGGAAAGAAATAAATCCATCGTATTATTTGTTTGTTTTCTTTTGAAGTGATACAGAAGTAGTGGTACGGGATGACCTCTTGTTTATGGTGACAATTCTGTAATAATTACATTAGGATCACCAACGACTAAATTTTTCTGCAATCCATCCCATTCATATTTTATGAATGAATCCAACTTTTCGTACAGATGAAATGTTATATGTTCAACGTTTTCAATAATTTTTCACTGTACATTCAAAATTAGTAATTTCTCAACACAAATATTTTATTGATGTGAGATATGAGAACAGATAGATGGATTGATTAATTGAGAATTTTAACACGAACAATCGTCTCAATTTGCAATATTCAATAGTTTTTTTTTGTTTAAATCATTTTATTTCGAATTACCAAAGTAATAAACTTCAACTGTGACAGCCTGCTTTCATCTTTTGGCTTTCATACATATATTTAATTTCCATATCCTTCAAATAGAAAGAAAGTATATCTTTCAAATTTGGGTGTCACCCGCCATTTCTCAGTCATTTCTTTATTTCGTGAAGCAAATCTTATAATTAATTATCAATGCCAATATTTTTGAAATTGCTTTTATAATTTCATGCGTCATGATTTCCTTGAGAGATAGAATTATTGTTATTTTGTGGAGTTATTTAAGGCAATGAAAATTTAGATGATATTAATATACGTTATGTTTAGCTTGCAATACCATGCAAGAGACAGAAGATTTTGAAATGAACCAAATGATGAGAATCGTTGAAGCGGAAATGTCACCCATGCTTGTACCATTACCAAAACCGATTGGTTATGAACGTGAATTTATGGCCAGAGTAGCTCAGTTGACTCACAAGGATTCTCCAGGTATGTTTTTACTTGCATGTATTTAATTTGAAATAATGAAAGTATATCCATAAAGGTTAAGTATTACTCGCTATTTGTCAATTATTATTTTAATTAGCAAACATGAATTTATAATTATTAAGTACAAAATTTTTGAAATTTGTTCTCATAATTTTATATGTCGCGATTTTTTTGGAAGAGAATTATAATTACTTTGTGAAGCAATTTGAAGCAATAAAAGTTTAGATGATGTTAATATACGTCATATTTAGCTTGCAATACCATGCAAGAGACAGAAGATTTTGAAATGAACCAAATGATGAGAATCGTTGAAGCGGAAATGTCACCCATGCTTGTACCATTACCAAAACCGATTGGTTATGAACGTGAATTTACGTCTAAATTAGCTCGATGGAGTCAGTTGGTTTTTCCAAGTATGTTTATTTTACATGTTACTTTTATTTACAATATTTTGCTTGCATGAAGCACTGCTTATGACTAATCAAATTTGCAGGACCATCTTTTGTGAGACAAACTGAAAGATCAGCGCTGGAAATATCATCAGCTGAACCGGAATCTTGGACAATATGGTCGGATGACCGAATAGAAGAAGGAGTGACCGAAACAGATAGTTTCAAAGAAACAGGTCATTTACTCGAATAGGCTTTGCTCATTTCACAATAGGCTTTGCTCATTATTAACAATTTGACAAATCAGTATTATTGGTGCGAGTATAGTAATATAGCTAAAGTAGCAAAAGAAACTTTAACGTTTATTTCATCTCCTAATATTACATAAGTATAGTGATTACTTTTCGAGAAACGACTCAGCAAGTGCTCTACAACTGAAACGGTTAATCTTTGTCCTAATGGACCTATTGTTGCTTCAACTCCAGGATCAGATCAAATTCTGGATGGCCTGGAGTTTTAGATGTGAATTGCTTGAAATTTTTTAATTCATTTATATTAATATGGTTTATCAGATATAATGTAGAGTATAGCAACATCAAACCATAAAAGTTTGATAGAGCCATTGGGCCAATTATAATCATCGAGATTATGGTTGAAATATCTAGCAAATAAGACGATTGCAATGTCGCCGTTGGCATACCTCAGTATCCAGAATACGCCTTTTATATTGCATCAATTAACAGAAAGCGAATGGCATTTGCCATAGATTTTAAAGAAATAGATTTTAAAGAAAGATATTCGTATGTTCATAGGAAAACTTGAAGATGAAGTGTAATGTATTATATCAGTAAAAATAAGTTGACACTTAATACTAAATCCTTAATAATCTAGAGTTAAATCTGTAAGATATGACAACTGTTATCAGTAGAAAATATAGGGTTAGCCAATTTGCTGCAGCTGTTTCTAAGAAGAGGTGGGTAAAAGATTCAGTAATTAAGAGGAAATATCAGCTTGTATGGCTATAATTCCGGCACAACCAAAGCAATTGGCCGAATAAAGAACTCATCTGTAACAAACAGTATGACGAAACTTGTACATTTCAGCAATTTTTCCGGCTTTCCAATGTATTCAATTTTAAATCTTACAATTTTTTTCAGATTCCGTATTTACAGATGGATCAGTTCTCGAAGCAGATGACGAATTGTCAACAATATCAGCCTCTTTTGAATGTAATACAGTATCAACTAATACTGATGAAGTCGAAATCGTGATTTCGGAAGGAAAAACTGCGGAAATTAAGTTTGATGCAGGGAGTGAAAACCATGAAGCACGTCAGTTTTCTGAAGTTACTTCTTCCTCACCAATATCTTCAAGCTCGACAGTAACAGAAACAGCGAAGTGCACAATAAATGGGTAAATATCTTTTTTGTATTTCAATACTATTTGTAAATTAGACGTGATTTGTTCGATTATCAGAATAATGACATGATTTTAGGAAAAAATTCGTTTGGAATCGGAATGCGTTGCCGTTTGTACCTCGTAATTTAATCGATGATCAAAACATTGAACTACAAAATTATCGTCCAAAAACTCATGCACAAGTAAAGATTTTTTGAAATGAGTTCATGTTCATTAGGGCTATGGCCTGAATTTTCTTCCTCCGAAATATATATTTATTTTTTTTCATAGATCAAACTATGAAAATTTTTGTTTTTAAAAAATTAAATCTTTTTAATAGTTTAGCAAAATGCAGTAAATCGATCAGACACACACAGCAACTATGAATTAGAAGCAAGTTGCTCGTTTTAGTGATCAACTTTTTTGAATAATAAGAATTAAATTTTATGCTTATTTTATAAATGCTTAAATTTGTATAGGGTTGATAATTGTTTACTTTTTTATTTAAATTTTAATGGTTTTTGATATATTCCCAACTTTAATCCACAATTTATTATTGTTTAATATTTGATTGAAATGTGATGTGTATGTGAGCACTTTATTTTCTTCCTGATGTAGTAAAAAACAAAAAAAAAATGTTGAAGAAATTTTTAAAAATTCACGTTATTCTAATTAAATCTTATATGGATTTGTTTTTTACCATTATCATTGCTTTTGTAGTTTGATATTTGCATATGTTGATCGCAATAATTTTTTATTACATTTATTTCTTTTTTTCACGAATTTTCAAACCATTTTTTGCAGAAAGTCAAAATTGTTAATTATTTTCAAAGTTCACTCATCCAATGTTCCCTTTAAAGGTTATCATTTAGTGTTGCAATATTTCTGATACACAGTTCGAAATGACGCTCTTTTCAGTTCTTTTTGTATATTGATGGCGAAACATTTTATTTTCCGCTACTGATTTGATTTAAATCTTAATTAAATTAATTTTCTCTATCAACTTTTCCAATACAATGATCAGATTCCTGGTATTCCTTCTGAAAAATTCAAATACGAATAACAGTCAAGAAATTTTGCAATCGATTTGAAGTTGAATGCAACGTTAGTGACTGCTAATAACTTAACTTTTACGATATGCCGAAATACAAACAGGAATTATCATTCGAATCAGATATATCTGCCGGACATGAAGTATGGAATTATTGAAAAAATATTTTCAATAATATTCAAGTAAATATTGCATATCACTAATGAATGTATCATATTGAAAATGATGCATCATTTGAGAAAAGAATATAAAATAAAATTATGAAAATACCGAGAAAGAATTTGGAGTTAGTGAAAAAGAATCAAAACTTGCAAAATGTCATAAAATTGGTACAAATTAATTTTCGGATTTCACTCACTTAATTATTAAATTAAGGATGGCTTTTGTAGATTGTGAAATTAAAACAAAGAGGATTTTGACAAAGAATTTCGAGTGAGTAAATTATCATTCAGCGTTAACTTCTTGCTCAA